AGGAATGTTCTCATTCACTCAGCCTCCATGCAGACACAAAAACCAGTTGCCCATGTCTTGTCTATGCCACAGAAGCATAAAGCGTGGGAACGGTTATAACCTTCTAGATCATGGGTTCCCAAACTGGGGGGGGGGCATGCCCCCCTGAGGGGGCATGAAGAAATTCCAAGGGAGGGCGCAAGGCAACCCAGCCTCTCCCCCACAATCAAGTTTTGCTGCCCTGATCAGTTTCTTTCTTTCTTTTTTTTTTTTTTTTTGCTCAGCAAGTCTTGCTGCTATTTTTGGGGGAGGAGGGGCATGAGGGTTTTCAGTCTTTGGCCAGTGCTATATGAAACACAGACTGAGAGGAGACATGAGTAAATGCCACCAGGGAAAAGTGTCCATCATAAAGCCTTGAGCCTCTTCACCTGTTCAAAGGACACAGCCACTCAAAGGAGCAGGTCGCTTGTCTTAAAGACTGTTGTATTCAAAGAAAAAACAGGACTATGTAGCACTTTAAGACTAACAAGATGGTTTATTAGGTGATGAGCTTTCGTGGGCCAGACCCATTTCCTCAGATCAAATAGCGGAAGAAAATTGTCACAACTGTATATACCAAAAGATACAATTTTTAAAAAAGTGAACACATATGAAAAGGACAAATCAAATTTCAGAACAGAAGGGGGATGGGGGGGGGAGGTAAATGTCTGTGAGCTAATGATATTAGAGGTGATAATTAGGGAAGCTATCTTTATAATGGGTAAGATAATTAATGTCTTTGTTTAAACTTAGGCGTAAAGTGTCGAATTTAAGAATGAATGTCAGTTCAGAGGATTCTCTTTCCAGTTGTTGTGTTCAATGCATTGATACTTTCTGTATGATGGGTGCATGGGGGCAAAGAAGGGCATGGCCCCTGATCAGTGGGGGCATAGGAGAGGGATATGCAGCTTCTTCAGCTGCAGTGGGACAGCAAGTTCTTCCACCCCAGGGCTGCAATGGGGCGTCAGGCAGGGCCATCCTTACCCGTATGTAGAATATGCAGCTGTGTAGGGCACCTGAAAATTTGGGGCACCACTGGGTCCTAATGTCCACCCATCTGCTCTACCTTTCCCTGGTCTGTGGATCTGCTTGTTTCAGAGACGATCTAGTTAATTTTAAAGCAAAGAATTCCTCCACTGAACACCGTGAAAGAGCCATTCAATGGGCAATGGAGCCATTTAAGAAG